ATAAATCATAGGACAGCTTACTTCAATAAGCCTCAAACTAAGAATTTATGAATGGATCACAGATTTACCAGTATAGGCTCTAGACCTAGAGACAAAAAATACTTTTAATTCCTATCATGTTCAGCCACTCTTATAATCTAACTCCAAAAATTCCTCAACTCAATGAAACTAAAGTCCTCTGATCCGGTGACTTCTCACTGGCCTGGCCTCGTCCAAATTCCATAATCAAACATTCTGATCATTCTTGCATGTGTCCTCAATAACCTGTTCCCTCAATCAGTCATCTTCTCTTGGAAAAATAACAGTCCTGGTGAAGTCCAGTTATCTGCCTATCGAACCTGAATCCAGGTAAAAGAAAAAAGTGGAGAAAAAAAACTCAAACCAAGCCCAATAGTGCACACCTGTAATCCCAGGGGGAAAAAACCCTCAAACCAAGCCTCATAGTGCATACGTGTAATCCCAGAACTTTGGAGACTGAGGCAGAAAGATAATGAGTTCAAGATCAACCTGGGCTATAAAGCAAAACCTCATCACTAAATTAAGTAATTAATCTTTCTTAATGCTGTTTAATTTAGATAAGAAATTCCATGCATCAAGTTGGACCTTAATGGTACATGGTAATCTCATCATATTTCTAAACTTCCATTTTCTCTCACCATCTATTTCCTTAAGCCATTCATATGTCTACCCCACCGCCATTCTGTTTTTGTCCTTGTTTTATGTATCACCTAGGAAACAAAACATTCAGTCAGGATTTACATAGCTCCAGCCACTGCATCAGCTCACTCACCTATATATGTACGGAGATGCCATGCCTCCCCTGAAAAGCCTACCCTCTTGTGAGACATCCTGTTTCCCATGCCACAGTATTTCCTGGGCTCCAACCAGCTCCATTTTCCCTGTCCATTTAACCTTCTCTATTTCTATCCTTGTCATTTAAACAAAATTCAAAAGCTAGTTCTATGAACTCTTCCTTGAACCACTTCTCAATTTTAAGGCACAAAATGCTTCTGACATTTTCAAAGATTCCACTGGTCCCTATTTGCTCTGTTTCTGTGAGTTGAACTCTTAAAAATCAATCAGAGCTTTACTCTATGTTCTCCTATTTATTCATTTTCCTTTTTTTCTGCATAGATCTCTTCCTCCCCCCTTATATACAGGAAACAACTCATATGTATCTGATTAGTAACATTTTGTTTATAATTACTAAGCCAAGTATTTTATATTCTTATACTTTAACATATATAAATGACATTTGGTCAGCTTTATTTTTGTTTATTTGTTTGAGGTATTTCCTCAATACTATACTACACAAATCCATTCATGCTATCATAGTAATGTTGAGCTACTATCAGCTTCCACACTCTGCCTAGTCTTTACCCACATCTGGTCCCTCAGGATAACACTCAGACAACCAACAACTCCTTGCCAAACACTTCTCCAAGCCATCTATCTGCCAAGGGCCCCAAGAGTTCTATTTCCCCACATCCTTCCTCCTTCAGCTCCTTGTCTCTTCACTCCAATGTACCCCTCTCCATTCCCATTAGTACTAACTCCCCTTGCCCCATATTCATGTTAGTAGCCTCAGTGCTATCCTCAGTTTCTTTGTTTTCCTCCACCATGTAGTACAACAGTAAAGTTTCTGAGTTTTTCTCTCAAAGTCCGTCGGTATCTGCCATTTTTTCTCAGTCTCCTCTATGACAGTCAATAAAGCTACTGTCATTTCTTCTACCACCATGCCCAATACTTCCCCATCTTTGCTCAACCTGGCAGCTATAGGAGCCGTGTTAAAAGGGTAAGTCAAATAATTCTATTGATCTGATTAAAGCAATCCAATGGCTTCCATCTCAGTCTAATAGCCTGAATAACTACTGATTGATTATTAGGGATCTCCCTTTCTACAAAGTAAACTCTATGAGGAACTGACCATGCCTTTTATTAAGTGTTATATTTCAAGGCTTATGGGGGATAATCAATGAAGATTAACTGAATAACAAAAAACCTAAACAAACAACCTGTGATGCAATGTTTCCCTTAACTATGTTGTTTGTTTCTCAAGTTTGTAGTGGGAAGTTTTTGTGTCCCGCCTGGCCCATGGTCAGGACAAATCTCTCACCCACAGTCCTGCAGCCTTTTATAAAATAATCACACAGAGGCTTAATATTAATTATAACTGCTTGGCCATTTGCTCAGGCTTATTACTGACTAGCTCTTACACTTAAATTAACCCATAACTCTTATCTATGTTTAGCCATGTGGCTTGGTACCTTTTTTCAGTTCTGCTTTCACATCTTGCTTCCTCTGAGTCTGGCTGGCAACTCCTAACTCTGTTTTTCTTCTTCCCAGAATTCCTTTAGTCTGCTCGCTCCACTTATACTTCCTACCTGGCTACTGGCCAATCAGTGTTTTATTAAACCAGTGTACAACAGCATTATCCCACAGCACAGGTTTCCCTTGGGCTGCTGAATAATCTTCCAAATTCTTCTCTCCTTCTCTCCTTCCTCTTCACCCTCATTCTTCTTATCCTTTAGTTTTTATTTGTTGATATGCAGTCTGATAATGTAGCCTTGGACAGCCTTGAGTTTACTATTCCTAGACTGTTTTCAAATTCATAATTTTCCTGTTTATACTTCTCAGTGCTGGAATAGGCAATACCATACCCAGTCAGGAATTTGGTTTTCATCTGTGCAGGACAGAGAGTGCCCAGGACTTTCATCCTGTTTGGCAAGTGGTCTGTAACTCAGCTCCATCCCAGCATTTTGAATGTATTCTTGTTTCCAGAAAGTGATTTAAACCATCTTCCCCCATATTTCCTACTTGAGCTAAGATGTCCTACTTTAGTGGTCGGATTTGCCTCCACTGGTACTGTTCCAGGATTGCCACCAATGTATCTATGTTTCCTCAACAAAATAACAGATTTCTTTTCTTTACAACTTGAAACAAGACATATATGCCCACTACCTTCTGAGAACAATGTCAGCCACTAAAACTGAGATAGGAAGGAAAGGCAGGAAGAATTAAAGAGACACGAGAAAGGTAAAGAGCTCATCATGTCCCTGGATGAAGTATTTTGCTAACTGGAAGTCAAGAGTTTTAATACAACTAACAAAAAGTACGGTGAAGATTGTCTGCATATAGATTATTCTTTTCTCAGAAATGCTTCAGAGTATTAAAGCAGCTGATAAACCATGTCCAAAACAAATGTGGCCTTTAAGTTTAACCTTGCTTTCTTCTCATCTATCAATCTGTATTTTTCTGAGAAAATTTCAAAAACCAGGTTAAGGAGTATATTTATTGTCTAAACTTATGTCTTCACCTCTTTTTGCCTCGTGTTTGTAGTAAGAATTCTTTTGACCCCTTGTGACTTAATGTTTTTACTTAATCAGTTCTTCTTTCTCATCTTAAACTTGTATAACACACTCATCAGCCACCATATCATCTTTTTATGAAAGAAATTATCCAGATAAAAATAAGCATATCAAAACATTATTGCATAACCTTTTATATTTAGCTATAGATTATATCCTTTGAAAAATGCAATCCAAAGCCCCCACAGGCCAAACATGGCCCCTTGCCTTGCCTTGGATGTATGCTATTCTCCTCCTTTTTTCTCCTTTCCTTTCTGTTGGAATACATTCTTGGCTGGTTAGAGGTTGCAGTCTGCCATAGCCTGGCAGCTTTCTCTAAGCTTGGTTATATGGAAACGCCCCCCATCTCCAGCAAAGCTTCCTGCTCTCTATTGCCCTTATCTGGAGAATGCCCCTGGGCCTGGAGGACTGACCTAAAAGTTGTCTCTAAACCAGATGCCTGATTCTTCTTTAGCTTGACCCTTGGCACAGATTCCTGCTGAGAAGACTTTTGCTAGGAGCTCTGCCACAGGACCCTACTGCCACACACCAAGCCCTGTGATAGAAGCCTGCCATTGAATGTGAATTAGAGTTTGTCCCCAAGCCCCCCAATCCTATATATTCATTATACTCTGGAATAAAATTGAGCTGATTCACCGAAGTCTGCCTCCCTGAGGCCTCCCTCTGTTCATGCTCATGGGCCCTGAACAAAGCTTTCTGTCACCCTCTTGGACTGATGGCTGACAGGCCAAGAGGGAAAGAGGACCCCCCCATACATCTCCTCCTTTCTTTCTCTTTTATTCTTTATGGTTTTTAGAGACAGGGCCTTATATATCTCAGTCTAGCCTGGAACTCACTATGTAGCCGAGAATGGCTCTGAACTACTGCTCTTCCTGTCTCTGCCTCCTGAATATTGGGATTATAGGTATTTGCTATTGTACATGGTTCCTCCTGAAATTATTTTCCCCACAGTCAATAAAGACCCAGACGCACCTGGGTGCTTCTACTTCTTTCTCTAGAAAGAACTCAGCTGTGCAGGAAGTCGGAGCATCTAGTCGGAGCTCCTGCAGTCAGCGAGGGAACAGGGTGCTTTCAGTTCACTGCCAAGCTTCTGTGTGAGTGGAAGAAGTTCATTTCCTCTCTAAGCAGGGTCTCCATGGGGTATGAGGAGCCTCGAGCCCACTGTTTCTCATCTTCCTCAACACCATGGGTTCAATGAAAAGGCTGTGGCATTCCACATTCAGGCATGAAATTATATATGCAAAATACACACATGCTTAGAATATATGGACTCAACTACGAATTCTTTTTGTAAACTTGTGAATATCAGAATGACAACTACAATTACTCAAAAAAAAGAAGAAGAAAAGTGCAGGGTGTCATTTATAGACATCAAAATAACATATTTACCACAATGAAATGTTTTCTCCCCCATAACTGACATGCCTGTGTCTAACTGTGTATGAATGCTGGGTGTATTAAGCTGCTTTTGATTTGAAGTCAAATCTACAGCTCCTCCCAGAGCTTGGGACAAACGGACAAGGTTTCTCAGCAGTTTCACACGTGTCATCCCAGAGCTGTGAAAGAAAGCAGCCCAGCCCCGCCCCAAGTCTGGGTTCCATCTCAAGATGTTCAAAGGATCAAAACAGTTACCTCCTCGAGGACATCGGCCAGCTTGCTGAGGATTTCGTCAGGAAGGCTCTGGAATGTGGGAACGCTGGAAAACAAAGCAGAGAGTGATGGTGAACACCTGCATGGCAGCTCGATATAACAAATATGTCTGCATGGAAAATGCAAACACATTTCTTGATTAAGAATCTACAGTTGATGATCACAGAACTTAAAGTCATCGAAATGTGTTTGATGTCTAGAAAGGAGAAGGTATGTGTCCTAATCAGGGTTTCTATTGCTGTGATGAACACTATAACCAAAAGCAAGTTGAGGAGGAAAGGGTTTACTTGATTTATATTTCCACATGGAGTCCATCACTGAAGGAAGTCAGGGCAGGAACCTGGAGAAAGGAGCTGATGCAGAGGCCATGAAGGGGTGCTGCTTACTGGCTTGCTCACCATGGCTTGCACAACGTGCTTTCTTATAGAACCCAGGACCACTAGCCCAGGAATAGTACCATCCACAATGGGCTGGGCCCTCCTGCATCCATCACTAATTAAGAAAATGCATTATAAGCTTGCCTACAGCAAGATTTCTGGAGGCATTTTCTCAACTGAGGCTCCCTTCCCTCAGATGACTCTAACTTGTGTCAAGTTGACAAAAAGCTAGCCAGGACAACTGGCCTCTTGTCAACTTGGCATAAACACATCACTGTTAAACCACAACCTTTCCTTTCTTGTTTATCCCCAAGATCACAAATTTATATTAACATCACAGTATAAAACATTTTACAAACTTAGAAAAGTCTTACTCACAGTCTTATAAATTTATACACTTTAAAAGTTCAGTCTCTTTTAAAAAAAAAATCCAAAGTCTCTTTTAAAACTGACAGTCTCTCAACCATGGGCTCCTATAAAAAAATAATAATTTAAATATTTTCTTATTTCAAGAGGAAAGAACTAAGGTACAGTCACAATCAAATCAAAACAAAACTGAACTCTAACTGTTAAATGTCTGGGATCTAATCATGATCTCTGGACTCTTCACTTCTCTGGTTCCACTCTCTGCAGCACACACAGCTTGTCTTCTGGCTGCATCTTTTTCCACTCTATTGTGGATGCTGTTGTTAAGGGTCATCCCAAGGTACTGGCATCTCTAACATGCTGGAGTCTGTGGTTTATATTGTGCACCCCAATATACTATGTACCCCAAAAAACTTATGTGGGATCAGAGAACAGAACAGCCACTAGATTAGACATAGAGGCCAGACAGTGGTGGCACACACCCTTAATCCTATCATTCAGGAGACAGAGATTTGTCTGGATCTCTGAGAGTTTAAGGCCACACTGGAAACATAGCCAGGCAGTGGTGGCACACACCTTTAATCCTAACACTTGAGATCTCATGCCTTTGCTTGGGAAGCACACATGCCTTTAATTCCAGAAAGTAAGATGGCAGGGCAGAAAAGGTATATATGGCTTGAGGAAACAGAAACTCACTCTCTTAGGGCTAAGGATTTCATAGAGGTAAGAATGTGGCTGGCTTGTTCTGTTTCTCTGATCTTTCAGCTTTCGCCTCAATATCTGGCTCTCGGTTTTTTGTATTAATAAGACCCTTTAAGATTCATGTTACAGGGGTCTTTTGCTGCATCTGGGCTGCACTTTTACCAATAGCCTCTCCTGGGCTCTCTCCAGAAACTCTACCTGTGACACACAGAACCAAGCCTCAGCTGACCCCATGACACCTTCATGCCTTCAAAACCAGTACCACCTGGATGATGCTTACACTACCAAGTTTAGCTACCAGCACAAGGTACAGCCTTGAGTGCCTCTGGAATACAGCTTCTGTGTAATAACCCTGAGGAAACACTTCCCAGAAGACTTCACCCCAATGATTCTGGTCTCTTCTTAATCACAGCTGATTCTTCAGCCCCAGCTGACCAGCATTCATTGTCTAGGAAAGCAAAGGTCTTACTTTAGAGGTTCTGGTTTCTTGTTAACCCCAGCTGATTCACCAGTTCCAGCCGACCAGACACCACAGACTCTTCACACACATGGCCGGCTAGCACCTTTGCTTCCCACTAAAACTTCACAAGCCAGGCCTCTATGGCACTTCTCTCAACATTTCTATCTTCTTTGCTCCTACACAACATCCCACTAAGCTCTCAATACTCACTGAGTTTCCTAGACCAAAGTGCTAAAGACCTTCTACATTCCTCTCAAAAATACCATGGTCAAGTCTGTCATGACTATGCCCATTATCTGTACCAATTTCTGCCTTGGTTTCTATTGCTGTGATAAACATGATGACTGAAAGCAAGCTGGGGAGGAAAGGGTTTCTTTGACTTATGCTTCCTATCTTAGTCCATCATGAAGGAAGTCAGTACAGGAACATGGAGGCAGGAGCTGATGCAGAGGCCATGGAGGGATGCTGCTTACAGGCTTGTTCCTAATAGCTTGCTCAGCCCGCTTTCATACAGAACCCAGGATCTTCAGCCCAGGCACAGCACCACCCACAAAGGGTTGGGCCCTCCCCCACAAATAACTAATTAAGAAAATACCCTACAGGTTTATGATCTAAATCTTCTTTCTGGAGGCATTTTCTCAGTCAAGGCTCCCTCTTCTCTGATGTTTCAAGCCTGTGTCAAGTTGACATTAAAACTAGCCACAGTATGTTGCAAATAAAGCTTAGTGTTCTGACACTTTAGGTCAATCCACACTTCTATTTACTTCTGTGACTTTGAGGGCCTGAGCTGTGGTATGTAGACAATCACTCTCTCCCTCTCCAGTCTCCTCTCACCAGATTCCACCAGTTCCACCTCCTTTTCCCAGGTTCTCCTATGTACACCATTTCCTCCGTTCTAGCTCCTACCCACCCTTTAAGATATTGATGATTTATTGGGATCTGAAAGTATTCATTCAACAACTGTTGTCCTCTGCCCCTCCTCTACTAAGTCAAGATCTCCTCCATAATTCTTTTTGGTTTTCTTTAGTGAAAAGTCTTGGTGGGTCTAACCTGGGACATACTAGACAGACATTCTTGCTTCTGAGAGACACCCTTCCTCTTTGTGCCCTTACTATAACTGTAATTAGACAGCATTTCTTCTTGATAGCATGTGTTTACTGCTAGAACAAAAACACACTAAACACAAGAACTATATACGGTGTGAGTGTGACTCATAATTCGTAAGCTCAGCAGTACTTGTTGAGCGAAGTTATGGAGGAACTGACTGTGACTGCTTCATAAGGGAACAATTCTGAGATGTTCTAACTGGCATGAATGAGAATTCCTGGAAAGAAGTTGGGACTACAAAGCCTGATCAACTGATTAGAACTTCAGTGACATGGAGAGGCTGAAATGTGACAAGTTCAGAGCCAAATTATCTTAGGGCATCTTTAGCACTCTTAATAACCATTCTCTGTATATGACCCAACATCTTTGGGACTATTAGTTAATTCCCATGGAATGGAAGAACAGAACCCTAGTCAACTGAAGGGCTAAAAATGTTGTCAGATAGTATCTGAAGCCTATAGCAGTCTCCCCTGCCTTACTCTAATCCACCTACCTGATGTATCCATCACCAAAAGTAACAAAATTGCTAATTCATTAGAACATGATATTTGGTGAAACCCAAATCTGCATTCTTGGGCCATCCATGGTCACTCATATGTGGCCCCAGAATAAACCATCTCTTTTGTTCCTTAGAGGTCAGAGGTGTTTCTTTCATTGACACTTTATGACAAATGGATAGAGGGCAGGAAAAGACGAGATGAAATGCAAGGAGTGGGCACAGCTATATACCCAAAGAATAAGACCATTTTATGTTGGAATAACTGTTAAAGCTTTAAGTCTCCTCAGGATCAAATACTATGATCCTCAGTCTCGTGTTTCTATGTAAACTTGGCAGGCTATTAATCCAAACAAACAAGTCTATGCTGCACCATTGCTGGTCCTTGTAGACTACCCTCTCAACCCTTCCTATCCAAGCTCTGGGCTATCCTGCCCTCTCAGCACGGTCAATGCAAGTTTCTTCTGCAATATTAACAAAAAGTTTGCTAAACTCTGCCCCTGCTCCATGGCATTTTGAACTGCTAGCTTGCCCTGCTCCAGGTCATTGCAGGAAACAGGCCCACAACTTGGTCCTTTATTTTTCTGGCTAGCATCTGTGGGCTTCAATAAACCCTTTTATTTAAGAAACTCCTTTGATGATAAGGGTTTTGCTTTGAGAAGATGTATTCAGATTAGACAGGCTAAAATAAGACTGGCATGGCTATGATTCAAATGTCAGTTCCCTTCATCTCACCCAGTTCTCACTTCTTCCCATGAAACAGCAAGTGAAATTACTGAATGGTGTCAAAAGTAAAAGCAGGGGAAAAAAATTAATTTATGCATTTGTATGTGAACTAATGAATTATAAACTAAAACTAATTATGGCATATTTCCTTAGAGTCTAATGAAAGTGCCAGCTGGGGTTGAGGACTAAAATCCCATTTGCTAGTTTTCAGTGCTTGAATAAAGACTACAAATGGGGGTGTGTACACTCGCATGTCTGATACCTGATTTACAGCACAACTTCAGGTTGATGAGGGGAACGCATTGAAAGAAGCCTTAGCCTGCAGTTTGGAAACAAGCATGAACTTTCTGCTCTTAATTTGTCACTCTAATTCCCATTACTTAGGGGAAAGTGTATTGATGGATTTCCAGGGTTTATGCAGAGGCATAGCAATTCACCCAGGACCACCTGTTCTGCCAGATTTGCTGCCCTGGTCTGAGCGAGGTAGGTTTTCATTTCCAGAAGGCAGTCAGTTTCAACAGCTTGCAGGGACAGTAGACAACAGAGCAGTGGCCTCAACCAGTGGGTTGTGATTCTTTTGGGGTGTTGCATACCAGTTATCCTGCATGTCAGGTATTTACATTATGATTTGTAACAGTAGCAAAATTAAAATTATGATGCAACAACAAAATAATTTTATGGTTGGAGTCACCACGACATGGCAACTATGTTAAAGAGTCACATATTAGGAAGGTTGAGAACCAGAGCTTAGATAGAGAAAGCTGGTTCCGTGAGTTCTGCAGGGTGGAAAACACACCCCTTCCTTGTTCTTT